TTCTAATGTGCTAGAATGTCAGTCTCAGCTTCTCAGATACTGGCTGGAAGTGTGGCCAAACATCAAAACCCCATTGATGTAGAATAGGTACCTCTCCTTTTGCAGTTCTTTGAGTGTTAGCTTCATCAACTTCTTTAAGATGGCTGAGGTATTACACAGATGGAATAACATGGCATGATGAGTAACTCATAAAGGCTATCTCTTGTGCTAAAAGCAGTCTTAGTCTTGCTCTCATCATTCAGCTTAACTTGCAATTTACAAGATGCCAGATCAAAAGTGTTAAATCAATGTGAATCTTCTCCCTTATCCAGAAACTTACTTGTGGTGACAAGAAGATGTCAGTGAGAGTTATCACGCTTACTCATCATAAGTGCATGCAGAACCTTGACATGCCTACTTTTTCCTGAAAGTTGCTACTGCACATAACTAAACACTTTCCAAAGAGATTCTTTCATGTAGCATCTACTAGGTGGCGTTACCAGTGTTCTTAGCTCCTGCTAGAGGTCATTCATGGGGATTCTGATATCCCAACAATAAGTCAGGCTCAGGTCCAGGGCTATAGGATGATGAGCTACTTGTAATGGCTTGTTATGCAGTCCCACACAACTTCACTTGTTCTAAGATGCTGCAGACATGATGAGAAACTTCTCCAGTAGTTTTGGTGCTTTGGTCACAGGTCATAGTCTTCACCCATGCATATCCACTGCCTCACTTGCTCAGGAGACAACTTTAATTGATGAAAATTCTGGCTGTTATGCTCTGATAGACCACAGGTTGGGATTTGATGGACACTTCCTGATACAGTCTCAAACTCACCAGGTGCCTACCATTCTGATGGTTCCCATTAATCTGTGCTTCCTTGTTGCTGAGATTGATCCTCAAGGGCACCACCTGCTCATGTAGTCTGGGTACGTGTTATCTTGCTCCTGAAACTCCACAATACATACTGGTTTTTACAGTACAATTTCTTTTTCTATCTTATTTGTGGAATTCTCAGGTAAACCAATTTCCCAAAAAGTGGTACATAGATCAACCCACATTAAAAGTCTGGAATATGTCTAGAATAAAAAGAAAACATTTATAAAGTCTTTATTGTACAAATAAAACAGGAAAAGTAGTGTGTGTGCTTTTACAGACATTAGGATATTTTTTCTGCTAGCCCCACAGCATTCCATCTTGTGAGGTTAATTTCTGAGGAACCAAACATGCTGATCGAGAAAAAGAAGTTCTCCTCATCAATTGTTTAGTACAAAACTGAACCAAGAAAGAAAGTACATTCGAATTTAGCTTTTAAACTTCCTTCTCTCTTTGCTTAGAAAACAGTGTCACCTTGTGACAATTATTCTCTGACAGCATTTGTCAGCTGTTACTTTAAGTCAATGTCACAGTCAACTAACAAAGGATATCACAGTACTAATCTCTATGCTCTATAAATACTGAAGTATCTTTGTGAGCAGATAAGGCATCACTTATTAAACAGAACAAATAAATGAAGCAACTAGAGCAAGATAATTTTAACAACATTTTGATCCACATGTTGCTGGTATGACTTGTAATTCACTTGTGCTTCAGAGAAGACAAGTTTGAATATCTGATTTTATTCAAAGCTTAAATCTTATAAACCAGGAATCATTTTGGTGTAGCCTGTTTTTCATAATTTTTTTCAGGGGGAGAAAGATCATTTTTAAAATTGCTAATACATATATTCCTCAACATAGGTGACTAAGAATGTAGGCAGAAGGAGAATATGAAACCAAAATTTGAATATTCATTGGAAAAACATTCTCTTACCTCTCTTTATCTGTTCTTCTCCCCCACCACCAACACACAGACACTTTTAAGCAAAGTTAGGCACTCATTTTCCTCCTTTATATTGTCCATGGTAAGGTTCATGTCAAGTTTAAAAAACTCATTAGCAAACAAAACAGTTTGTTAATATAAAATTTTAACACCATGTTTAGTAGACTTCCACCACTACAGATTTAATTTTCAGTGACCATTAAAATGCAGTCACTTACAGTTTAAAATTGGAGTTGTTCACACCCAATTACCTCATGGTGATGCCCATAAATACAGGGATAAAAACTGAACACAATATTCAAAGTAAGGTCTTACCAAAGCTTATAAAATGTGTTTAAACCCCCTTACCGTTTAACTCAAGATTTCCTATTTTCTGCACTTCCAAACATTTAGCCAAACATAAATATGCAAAATCTGCATGTTATTATAAAACAATTAAAGCAATAGTGAAAGAAAAAAAGGCATTCAAATTTTCCTTAGGAATTTTAATTTAATTTGCCTGAGATAATGTTGGATCATAATGACAATGTAGGAAAATGGTAATGCAGAGGCTAAATGTGAGCAAAGAATATGAGGAATTTTGATAAAAAAATTTAACTGAGTATACCTATTAGACCAAATTTCTGTATAAAGAAAAATCTCCTTACAAATATCAATAAGACTATGAATTAAACAAAGGGTTAAAGTTTCACTAGTAATTTGTGTAAACCACAATTTCTAATTGAAGATAAATTAGAAGTTTAAATCTCTGTGTCTGAACAAGAATAAGAGAAACCCTGGGTTTGAACAGATTATAAACTGTGTTGTATCACATTCTACACGTTGAAGTTGTACCACTACAAAAAAATAATGCAAGTGATTGCTATTTGTTAAACCTGAGAAAAACTAAATGGCATGCCTAATGTAGTAAATGTATATAAGTTACTTCATAAACTGAATGTGAGAAATATTTACGAACAGGCCAGCATCTACCATCAAACAATAATATAAGAATATTGAGAACCAAGTAATTTAAATCTAATTAAAATAAATAAAGTAAAAGCATACAGAGACAGCTAACTGAATTTCTGAAGTTTAGTTTTACTTGACTGATGCAAATTACAGTAGTATATGACATGTAATTAGATTGCATGATTTTAGGGTTTAATTGATCCTATCATCTTACTTGCTGAATTGTTGATATTAGATTTAATTTTCACCAAAGTTAAGGAGAATTTGAAAAAAGATCCAGCTCTTTTTGTAGATCAAATAGTGCATGCCTTAATGTAATGCAATTTTGTGAGTGGAACCACTAGACATGGATCAGACTGATAGAATTGAGTTAGCATCAGGTAAGGATAATTTTTGTTTTGGTACAAAGCTTCCCAATGGAAAATCTGTTCTCAGTCTACCATAGAGAATATCAAACACCAAATGTTAGGGTTGTAGGTACATAAATTTACCACTGAACTGCTGGAGGATCTACAGATAAGAAAATAACATTAGAAACACTTCTTCAAGTAAACATTATTGGACTGTCACAAAATTTGAAAAGAAAAACTAATACATTAAGTGTGAAGACAGAAGAGAAGGTAATTTCAACCAAGAATAAGAAAATTTTGTCCAACACTAGGAAAATAACAAATGCCAGCTTGAAAGCATTAAGCATCATAAAGATGACAAGATAGAGTTGTGGCTTTTGTAGAGCCATAACTGAAAAGATTCCTGATCCCATTAAAGCTATTAAGTGCATGGTCCAACTGCTTCAACATCATATTTGGAACTATCTGCAATTCTTCAGGTCACAAGAAAAACATAGTATTCAGATGTGAATGATCCACAGACCAACATGAAACAGATGTAGAGAATTGAACAACTTTGTTTCAGGAAATGAACTCTTTACAAAATCTTCCTTAGTTGGACAACTTGTAAATGTGTATATAGTCTGTTAATTCATTATGCTATATATATATATATATATATATATATATATATAT